ATTGACAGATGACTTGAGAGAATTGCATTCAATTCTTTCCTTGGAAAAGGTACCCACAAAATTCCTCTGTATCCCAGGAGAAATCCTTGCATCTTGTTTGTACTTCCCCACCAACAGTGGGAGCGCCGATTTGTCCCCTGACATGATCGACTAGGCAACTTTTTTCTTGAAAAATGCCTCAACGTGGTTCAAACTTATCTGACTAAAAGCAGCATAGTTCCTGGCCTCTACAGCCGTATTACACCGGCAGTTGGATACTCTAGAAGTAGCATAAAACCAATTAATGATTCAGTTATATATGTGGTTACATTAGGTGACTCGTCACTGGCCTGTGACTGTGCTACGTATGCCGGACAGACGACTCTATCCTGACAGATATTGTTGATTGAGTTCCATCAAGCCACAAAACGAGTTTTTGAATTCTACACGTTGAAGTGCTGAAAGAGAATGAGATCCCCCCCCCTCAGCAATTCATTGGCTTTTATCATGATCCAATGGGTATCACTAGGGGCACATGCGTTTGGTGTTGCCCGAAGACGAGTTGCGGTGGCTCCTGCGTCTAACTTCCAAACGATGACAACTAGGTTTGGTTGTTGTCGATTGTATCTCTCATCAACTTCAGCGCCACCACAATGCGAGATAAAAAATATCCGGTGGGTTCAAGATTCTGTCCTTGAAGTAATTTCTGAAGTTTTTGATCCAGCGGAGGTTGCACGGGGTGTAGCACTCGCAAAACTGAACCGAAAAAAGAAAGGCAAGAAAAAGAAAAAGGAAGGAGCTCAGGTTGAAGAAGACGTTTTGAGTGAAGATGAAAAAATGGAGATTGTCGAGCGCGCTGTCGCTAATGCTAAGCCATTTGATATCGCCGATACGATGGTGACTCTCGCAACTAGACCAGAGTTTGGGGACTATCAGATCAATGCTGCCTTGGGATTGTCACGAGCTCTCAAAATGAGTCCCCATGAATGCGCTGGATTAATCGTAGAAAAGTTGTTGCCTGTGATTTATGAATACATGGAGGAACCCGAAATTGCAGGTCCAGGATTCATCAATCTGCGCTTCAAGAATGACTATTTGGCTGCCGCAACATCTCAAATGGCTGCCGACGCTACTGGTCGGCTTTCGTTGCCAGAAACCAAGAAAAAGGAAAAGATCATAGTCGACTTTTCATCCCCAAACATTGCAAAAGAAATGCACGTTGGTCATTTGAGGTCAACGATTATTGGTGATACTCTGTGCAACCTATTGGAATTTGTCGGTCACGATGTTATCAGACTAAACCATGTAGGCGATTGGGGGACACAATTTGGAATGCTTGTTGAGCACTTGCGAGATGAGTATCCAGCTGCATTAAGCGCAGAATCTTCAGCGAATGTGGATCTTGGAGACCTCGTGGAACTTTACAAAGCCGCGAAGAAGCGTTTTGATGCAGACCCTGATTTCAAAATCAAGGCACGTGAATGTGTTGTACAACTCCAAGCTGGTAATGATGATGAAGTCGCTGCGTGGAAAGCACTTTGTGCTGCTTCGAGAGTCGAGTATCAAAAGGTGAGATGACGAGTCCGCAAGTTGAAAGCCCTTACGTGTGAGGATAATCTCATCAGCCCATTTTAGATTTATGATATGTTGAACATTCGCGGACTCGTTGAACGTGGTGAATCGTTTTACAATCCATACTTGAATGACGTTGTTTCGGCACTTGAGAGCCAAAGATTTGCTGTCGAAAGCGAGGGTACACTCGCAGTTTTCTTGGATGGTGTAAGTCGCGGATTTGGAGTCGCCTGCTGTTTTCTCCCTGCACTCATCACTGTGGGATCTATGTAGTACAAGAATAGGGATGGGACCCCCCTTCCAATGATCGTTCGCAAGTCTGACGGTGGCTTCAACTACGCGACTACAGATCTAGCAGCTATCCGCCACAGGGTGGAGTTTGAAGTCGAAGGCGGCGGAGAAAAGGCAGACCGTGTACTGTACGTAACTGATGCAGGTCAGTCACAACACTTTAATATGGTCTTTGAAGCTGCAAAACAGGCAGGGTTCGTCCCTGAGAATTCTTCCCTGGAACACGTTTCTTTTGGTTTGGTGCAGGGTGCCGATGGGAAGAAGTTTGCAACACGTTCTGGCGATACGGTGAAATTGAAGGATTTGCTGAATGAAGCCGTACGAATAGCTTCTGAAGATATATGTCAGAGGTCAGAGAACGATTGTGTTTCAAAAGAGATTCTGGGTCGAGTTGCGAAAACAGTTGGTATTGGTGCAGTGAAGTATGCTGATCTTTCTATGAACCGCGAATCCAATTATAGATTCAGCTATGAGAGAATGCTTAGTTTGAACGGTAACACAGCGCCGTACATGCTGTACGCATATGCAAGAATATGTGGAATTATTCGAAAGTCTACTGGTCAAAAAGATGAAAAACCTATTAAATGGCCAGAAGCATCAGAGATTATTATCACGGAAGAGGCGGAAGTGGAGCTGATGCGAAACCTTGCTCACCTTCCCGATATTCTACTTGAGGTTGAGCGCGATTTGTACCCAAACAAAATCTGTGACTATCTTTTTGAGACTAGTCAAAAGTTCAACAAGGTAAGTTTTTCTTCCAGCTGCGATACGCGAAAATCCGAGGTTGATATGCGGTAGTGCATTTTCCTGGATTGCGACCTCAAACTTGTGCGTCTTCATGTTTAGTTCTACGAAGCGTGTTCGGTCAATGGCGCAAGTACTGCCGAAATTAAGGCTAGCCGTTTGTCCCTCTGTAGTGCCACGGCTGGAGTAATTCGTCTCTTGTTGGGAGTCATTGGTATCGACGTTCTGGAGAAACTATAGGTACATACAGTAAAAGGGTAGTGTAAGGAGGGTACGGAATTATAAAATACTGTGAGTCAGCCTATTGTACTGTACCGTACAGTACCATACCTGCAGTATTACGGTACCCTCTACTAGAGAGGCTACATATTTCCACCATTGTAGTCATTTGACCAATTTGAGTCAAAAGCTTTTAAGGTTTTTGAGGTGGCTTGGCATGCTCGTTTTGAATTACAATGCTCTGTCGATCGGAACTGTACAAGCTTGATCAAAAGAACAGTCGAGCCGGTAGCAGTAACAATGGACAAAGTTGATCAAGTTGTAAAGAGCATCGATGAATTCATCGCCAAGTATCCATCGGTCACCCAATTTGGTGCGTAATCCATTCAGTGCAAATTTGAAATGTTTTGAATGATCCATCAACTTCTTGTGTATGAAACGTACGACGATGATCTACAGGACTCTCGAGTCTTGTGGGATTTCAAGGCGTCAAGTCTTGTCCGATCGTTGCATTTTATATTGTCGTCACTGATCATTATCGCTCCTTTCATTACGCTGCTCCTTTGTCAAAATGAAAAATCTCTCACTGGTTCCTTTGATTTCAGAACGATTCAAAGATCTCGAAGAAAAAACTGGTCACCCCAAGGTATATTTCTTTCTTGGCGCTGTCTTCCTCATCGCTAGCTTCGTCCTTGGGTTTGGTGGATTGAAGCTGGTCACCGACTTGGTCGGATTTCTTTATCCAGCATACATGTCTTTCAAATCGATGGAATCCTCACCAAAGGCAGTTCCTGACGATGCTACTCAATGGCTGACATACTGGGTCATCTTTTCCTCCCTTACTGTGACCGAAGGCCTCTTCACATTCATTGTGAAGTTGATCCCTTTCTATTATGGCATCAAGATGGGACTAATCATTTGGCTTTACCATCCAAAGACCACTGGGGCCGAAGTTCTTTACAATCAAGTCGTGCGTCCCAAAATCCTGCCACATCTAGAAGCTGCGAAGAAATCAGAGTAATTCCAAGCCTCATTCTTGATAAATCCAGGGGACTCTCTTCGTGGACTGACTTCTATTGCTTGACTCTAGTGTTTCGGAGTTGAATATTTCGGACTTGAATGCAGAGTATTTCGTAAAAACACTTTTATTTAAAAAAAAAGAGAAGTGCCCATAATTACTCTATACAAGTACTGAACCAGTTATCCTGCAACTCCCCAAGTTCAGTTGCATCGTGAATGAATTACTTAGCGCATGGAGAGCAAGAAGCGAAAACCGAGCCTCTTTGACCAAACATAGTAGGATAGTGCTGCATGTTTTCTCCCAAACATCGATGTAAATGCGGCTGAAACTTCGCCATCGATGAAAGTGGAGAAACATCGATCTGATACCGGGATGTCTTTGGATTGGTAACAAGGTACCAGTAGAAGCAAACGCTTCGCAGTCACCAGTACACACTACTAATTCAGAAGTGTTGAGAGCTCGTGTTCAATACAACTGAACAAATCACTAGATAATTCATTTTTCTGATGAATACCCTTGTTGGAATATTGAGCTCTCAGTAGACGTACTGACGTTCAGACGCCTTCACTACTCCGCTAGCTGGGACTCCAGTCACGACTGGAGATCGATGCTCTAGCTCTCTTCGAATTTCATTAGCTTTCTTAGAGATTCGATGCAGCAACTCTTTCCAAGTAGTTTCAAGTAGTGATAATCTCACAATTCACAATTTATCAATTTATTAATTCGATTCTTTATCAACCAACTTCATATTAACTACTTTTATTGACTCAAAGCCCAATCCAGAGGCCTTGCTCCAGTGGAGCCGTCTCAGGATTTCAACACGCTCCCTCTGCGAGTTTAAAGGGCCCATTGCATGGTACAAAGTACTCGAAACGGCCCACTGAATCAAGATCCTTACATCCCTCGTCGCCGTCAAAGAAACAACCAAGTTCAGAACATGGCTGACAATCCTCCTCAGGGAGGCAACGACCAAGACCCAGAAGTTGTGGAGGAAAACCAACAACAACCTGCGCCAGCAGGCAATGCTGATGAAGCCGCGCAAGCCAATCAACAAGGCGGACAACAGGCCAACCCTCCGGTTCCCGATCTCCTAAACAACTTGATCGCAGCAGCAGCCGTTGCGGCAAACCCATTCAATCAACAAGGTCAACAACAAGGTCAGCAACAAGGTCAGCAACAAGGTCAGAACGCCGGTCAACCGCAAGGTGGAACCAACAATGCTGCGAATCTACTAGGGCAGCTATTGGCTCATCCACAAGGAATGAATCTACTAGGTCAGCTCATCACAAGTGCGACCAATCCGAATGCGACCACTCCGACTACCCATACTCCCCAATATGGAGCGTTTCCATCGACTTCAGGAACTACTCCTATCGACATTGGAACTTCCTACGGCATCAAACAGTACTCAAAGGCAGTCAATTCGCTCTACTCTAGTGGTGAAGACAAGTTCGATTTGCAACCAGCAAGACTACTAAATTTTATCGAGAGAATCCAAACTAGAGCCCTTGAGGCGGGATGGACCATCATCTTCCAGGTTCAAAACTCTGCAAGAAATAACGCTACCGACGACTTCCTGCAACTTCATGGACATCTCTATTGAAGATGTTCGACGCCATGAGCAAGCCTACCTTGTTCAAGCTGACAGTCGCAGCAACCAAAGCTCTCTCCACTTGCAGCTCTGCATCTACAAGTCGCTCACGGACTCTGCCCAAGCGAAAGTCTTAGGGGACAAAAATCTCTTCACCATCGATGGAATGAGAGGCGGATTGGCGTATCTGAAGGTGAGGACAACTCCCGCTAGCAACTCCAATGTGAACCACATCCGACGTCAACTTACAAAACTTCCCGAATACATGACCAAGGTTGGATCAAACGTTGAAAAGTTCAATCTTCACGTTTCCGAACAACTTGAGAACCTTGCCCACTATGGAGAGGAGTCCAAAGATGTCCTGATCCATCTGTTCGAAAGGTACAAGGCTGCATCTGACAAGTCATTTGTGTCATACATTGAGAGAAAAGAGGAAAAACATGAGGACAACTCCGAGACCACCAATGAACCCAAGCTCATGCAAGACGCCAAAAACTATTACAAGAACAATGACGAAATCACGACACCAACTTCCCATCGAGAGGGAGAATCTGAACCATCTGAAGATGATCCCAAACCTCCAATGCGTCAAACACCAATGACTTTCGACCTCGATATGGACAAGAACGAAAATTCAGTACCAGTACAGATTGAGGACGACGAAGAGGACACTCAAAAACAAAATCATGCAGCTGAGTTCCTCAAGTACCACCACAAGTTCAATCACTGTTCGCCAGCCAAGATCCAAGCAATGGCAAAGAAAGGTGAGCTCCCAAAATACTTGGCAACATGCGACGTACCTGTATGCAGTGCTTGCCAATTTGGAAAGGCAACCAGAAGGCCGTGGCGCACCAAGAACAAGAAGAATGGTCGCAAAGCAAAAACTGCAACAAGACCAGGACAAGTGGTTAGTGTTGACATGATGGAAGCAGGAATACCGGGTTTGATCCCACAAACATCTGGATTTCTTACCAAAGAACGGTACAGAGTTGCAACCGTTTATGTCGACCAATACTCCAACTTCAGCTATGTGCACTTCCAGAAGAGCACATCCGTGGAAGATACGCTGGTAGGCAAGGAGGCATTCGAGCGACTTGCTGCAACCTATGGGATCCAAGTCCAACACTGCCATGCAGACAACGGAACGTTCGCCGCGAAAGGGTGGATTGATGCGTGTCACCGGAAGAAGCAGTCCATCAGCTTTGCAGGAGTCAATGCACATCATCAGAACGGAAGAGCTGAAGCAAGGATCAAGCATATCCAAGACATGGCACATACCTCATTGATTCATGCGACAAAGCGATGGCCCGAGGCAATCAATGCTCATCTGTGGCCCTTTGCAGTCCGCATGGCAAATCTCTCGATCAATGCAACACCGTGGTTAGCAGATCTGAAGAAGCGCTCTCCAGAAGAGATGTTTTCAGGTTCCAAAGTGGATAATAATCCAAAGCATTGGCACCACTTTGGTTGCCCCGTGTTCGTCTTAGACAAGAATATGCAGCAAGGCAGAAGACCTGCAGGAGGCAAATGAATGCCAAGGACCCAGGTCGGCATCCATTTGGGTCCATCTCCGCAACACTCAAGAAGTATTGCACTGGTTCTCAACCTCACGACAGGAAGAGTAGGACCAGAATTCCATGTATACATGGACTCCAAATTCCATTCTGTGAAGAATTCCACTCGCCAAGAGAGACCCGAAGTCACTTTGAGCTCTACCAAAAGCGAATACACTGGTCTCAGTTATGCATTGCGTGAAGCGATTCCCCTCATGAACCTACTCAAGGAAATGAAGAGGCATGGAATCCCTGTCCTGGATCATCGCCCAAAAGTCCATTGCAGAGTCTTTGAAGACAATAGTGGAGCATTGGAAATGGCAAAAATCCACAAGTGGAGAACCAGGACAAAACACCTCTGCACAAAACTGCACCACTTTAGGTCATATGTAATGAGGAAGGAAATTACCATTCATCCTATTGATACTGAGGATCAACCAGCTGATATACTGACAAATCCACTGGCCGTCCAACTCTTTATCAAGCATAGGAAATGGTTAATTGGCTGGTAAGCATCTCCCGCTACCTGCATAGCTCGGCGAGAGGGATTGTTGGAATATTGGGCTCTCAGTAGACGTACTGACGCACAGACGCCTTCACTACCCCGCTAGCTGCGACTCGACTGAAAATTGATGCTCTAGCTCTCTTCGAATCTCTTTAGCTCTCTCAGAGATTCGATGCAGCAACTCTTTTCAAGTAGTTTCAAGTAGTGATAATCTCACAATTCACAATTTATCAATTTATTAATTCGATTACTTATCAACTAACTTCGTATAAAACTACCTTTATTGATTCAAAGCCCAATCCAGAGGCCTTGCTCCTGTGGAGCCGTCTCAGGATTTAACAGACTTTGGATCGTAAAAGGACGACCACGTTATGCTAAATACAACGATTTTTGCGTTGGTGATAACCACGACTTTGGATCGTAAAAGGACGACCACGTTGTGCTAAATACAACGATTTTGCGTTGGTGATAACCACGACTTGGATCATATGGAAAAGACAATCACGTTGTGCTAAATACAACGATTTTTGTGTTGGTGATAACCACGACTTGGATCGTATGAAAAGGGGACGATCACGTTGTGCTAAATACAATGATTTGGTGTGAAAGCAAGAAACTCAAAACTCAAAAGACTCTGACAGGGGGTTTGGATTCCCTGTCATCATCGTCGTATCGAGCTCTTGCAAAAGAATGCCTCGTGTCGATCGTGAAACACACCCCCTCCAAGATTGGGTCCTAGCTGTCGTCTGACTCCGCACTTACCGCCACGCACCGCTTCCATTGCTGCGACGCGCTCATGCGCAGTTGACTAAGCGGACCTGGCGTCATTCTCTTGCCAGTTCGTCCTACCGTCTTGCCTGCACACCCTTTTGGCGAACTACAGGGAACACAGTTGGATGCTTAACGAAATTTAGGACTGCTAAATAGTTGAGTGGTGAACTTTCTTTGTGATAAGTAAAGTCGATCATATTGACTTCGTGCGAAAGAGGGTGAAAATGACCACAAGGACTTGATAAAAATCAGAGAAATCATGATTTGCGGGGTATCCCAGAGGCTGTGCGTGAAGAGTCCTTCTAGCTACCCTGGGTGGGAATTTTACCGTTATGGGTAAACTGCCGCCCTCTGGGTGAGGCCAAATTGCTAAGCCCCTCCGAGTCGGGCTGGTCCATTTAGGTGAGCCAGCCTGGGATTGAGTGCCAATACTTCCAAAATGATGGAATTTGTTACGGCTGGGTTCCGCAACTTTTGCGGAATTTGCAAGGTGGAAGTCTAGGTAAGACCCCTTCCTCCAGAACCACGCCCGCACGGCCTATGTAACATTTTAGCTACAGAGCTCGAGGTCACTCACTTGGAAATTCGATTGTTGCCCAGTTGTCTTCTTCATTCTTTGTCAAGCAACAAGGAGGAGCAGAACCGTTTTCATTTGAGTGACAGAGCAAGATGCCAGCACAACCCAATGGTCTGTCAGATGAACAGGAAGTTTTCCTGAAAATTTGTTTGGATCGTGTGGAGGCGGCCAGGAGACTAAAGACCAAAGGACTTAGTGACACTTATCTCCGGGAGTATCAACGATTTGTCATTTGGGTAATAAAGAATAACCGTATGCCGGACCCAATGCAGCGACCCTTTCGTTTTACCACAAGAGACAATGTGGATAAATATTACATCCACGACTTTACAAAGAGAGAATTTGGCACCCAAAATAGTCGCTCTCGGGTCCATCAAGCGATACAAAGGTTTTGGGATTCAGTAGAGTCTTCTTTTTTTAAAGATTTTGACACCCTATCACCTTTGATGGATGGCGAAGCTAAAAAATTCAGAGTAAAAGACAGTGAAGCAGTTGAAGCAAGTGTAATAGAGCAGCAGCGATATTACGATTCAATCAAAGAAGACAAGTTTGGAGGAACAGATCCTTTCAAAGGCCTGAAGGCCGACCTTCTTACTAGTACTGAAAAGATGAAGGTAATGACCTATATTCTAAATGATCGACCAGATTGGAAGGACATTGGTTGCTCTTTCAATTGGGGCTGCAATGCAGGTTTGAGAGGAGATTCCACGAGGTCTCTCTGTTTTAAAGATTTGTATATCAGCCATGGATTTGCTCCAGGACAAGGAAGGAATCTGACTGCCATCTTAAGGAAAGATGATCAAAAAAGTGACTTCACTACGGATCGCCTAGTTGGGGTCCTTCGGCATCGCCATTACTTGCTATGTGCCTCATTCATGACATCCATGAATGTAATTCGGATACTGCAATTACGTAGCAACGAGGTTCACTTCAAACGTCCGAACAAAAAGAGTCCAGCCGAATTCTGGCAAATTCCTTTTGTCGATTTTACGAAGCTTGCTGACGAAGAAAATGCCATGAGAGAGGTGAGTTTGACACGTCTTCTATAGTTGCTTTTTCTATGGTTGAAAACTAAGTTGCCTGCCACATCAAACCTTCTGGATGTCATTCTTAGATTTACGTCAAGACTGGTGTAGAGTCTTGCAAAGTGACCCATCACCGAACACATTGTGTAATGCATGCTAGTACTGAGGGTTTACAACAGTATCAAGTTTCAACCCTCACCAAGCACATGAACGACAAGCTAACAAAATCATACTGGGTAAGTTGGTTTTGGAAATGTTTGCCAAAAATGTTTTGAAATGGTTGTCAAATCAAACTGAACTGCATTGCTATTCAATTTTACCTGCTGGCATACTTTTAGGCTGAAATGGAACGAAGATCGATGACTGTGATGGCTGGATTTGACATGGATGAAGCCTACAATGTCCTACGAACGCAGATTGGATTGCCACTTTTATATATATAACTGATGCATTAATCGTATTAAAACTATCTCAAGTTTCTAGATTGCCGTTAACGGCTGTCATGGCCATTTACCATACGGAGGTGAGTCCAGTACTGTTGAACCAGTGTGAGGCATCCAATCCCAGGGAAGTTGCTCTCATCGGATATTACATTGCACCCTTGCACATGTAGAAACGATCTTGCCACTCGGGGCGGCGTATTTTTATTTTGTTTTTTGAGTTTTTTGAAGGTGATGGTGGGCATGATTGTGTAGCAGGTAAGAAGCCAATTGTTCTTGCGCCCTAATGCCCTGGGCGTATCGATCCAAGTGAATGGAGAGCGTCCCGATGGCACAGTGTTCCAGATTGGATTGCCACTCGAAAGTATTGAAGCTTGTATCCGTGCACTGTTTGGGAATGATATGGATCAATGGAAAAGGGAGCAAGAGGCCCCAGATGGGGACAAGTCTACTTGTGCTCAAAAGTTCTTTTCCAGACTTTTACCATTTCTGGTCGAAGTTTTGGTCCAAGATGGAATCTACTTGATTATTGACCATCCACAACATGAGATGTCAATAATGCTGCATGTAAGTGTCGCAAGAGGAATCAGATTTTTCTAGTACCCTGTCTGTTGAGTTGGTACCACCAAGTATCCTAATGATGCCATTTAATTGTTATCAGAATAAAATTCCTGGATATGCTCAATGGGCTGCAATGAAACGACGTTGGGTCAAAAATGAGCTTCTGACTTTTGAGCCAAAGAAAATGGAAGCACTCAATTCAGCAACACAGAACGCTTTTCAGTCAATCATGCGGCAGGTGAAATACCTTGAAGATGCTGTTGTTGCAGGTGCAACTAAGAACCAGGCACTCACTGAACAAGTTGAAGCTCTACGACAAGAACTTAGAAACAGAAATCAAGAGTTCAATGCAGTACAGCAGAGACGAGATGATGCGATGAGGCACTTCATTGCTCAAGAATTACGCAATGTAGTAGGGAACCATCAAATTCAGAACCATGGTCCACCGACCGGTACTGGTGCGCCAAGTCAACAAGAGGTGCACACTAGAGCCGTTGGAAATGTTTCAGCAACTCAACCACTGCGGGAGACTGCAGAAATACTAGTTGCTCCCGAAACCCAACAGAGACCACCATCGCAACGCCAACAAGCTTTGCAACGATCTACTGCAGCTCCTACTGTTGTCCATCTCCAATCAATTCCACATCAACCAGCCTTAGGTAAGGCTTTCCCAAAGCTATGGTCGGGGATTTTGCAAAATTGGATCAATCTGAAGCTCGAGAAGTTCATCCATGTCCCAAAGAATGGACGGAATGGATGGAACAATGCAGAGAATGCCAAAAGGTTTCACAAGCACTACCGAGGATTCCTATGTATTCAGTCGGTTATGGAAGAAAATGAAACTGTCAAGGATCTCAAGGGGGCAGCCTTTTTTTTGGACGACGAGCGAAGAAGTTTGAAGTTAAATATGACTGAACATTTGCAGTTTAGATGTAAACGTAACCCAAGCATTCAAAGCAAAACAATGAAAAAGCAAGCACCCAAGTCCAATAATACAGGAAGAGGAACCAAGAGACCCAATGGTGATGGTGGTACTACAGTACAACATCCAAGAAATAAGCGTTCTCGGCCCAATAGCAATGGCAATGGCAGACCTCCCCTGCCCCCCTTCCACCCAGTGCAACCAATGCAACAACATCGTCAACAAAGAGTTGCCGGGCTGAATATGCATCAGCTCGCATATGGCTCCAAAGTTGTTGATATCGAGGCAAACAGGGGAATCAGAGGCGTCGCCCAAAGATATCAACAACGGACTATGGCCGTATCACAATTCACAAACTCAAGGAATTCTGCCTACCATACCACCAACCTGTTGGCAAGAAAGCCTGCTGCAATTCAAAGAAGAAGGATTCAATCGGCGATTGGCCCCGGGGGGAAACGAGCAAGGAATAATCTTCTTCAAGCTACAGTGGCTCCCATGGCAGATCAAAGGTTCCAAGAAGCTGTTGCTGGATTGACCCCTGATGAATATTTGGAACACGCTGATGCCATTCGTCAAAAGAAAGTAGCTATTGCAGCAAGCGTTCTTGCTGAGGTCAACAACATATATATAACTGATGCATTAATCGTATTAAAACTATCTCAAGTTTCTAGATTGCCGTTAACGGCTGTCATGGCCATTTACCATACGGAGGTGAGTCCAGTACTGTTGAACCAGTGTGAGGCATCCAATCCCAGGGAAGTTGCTCTCATCGGATATTACATTGCACCCTTGCACATGTAGAAACGATCTTGCCACTCGGGGCTGCGTATTTTTATTTTGTTTTTTGAGTTTTTTGAAGGTGATGGTGGGCATGATTGTGTAGCAGGTAAGAAGCCAATTGTTCTTGCGCCCTAATGCCCTGGGCGTATCGATCCAAGTGAATGGAGAGCGTCCCGATGGCACAGTGTTCCAGATTGGATTGCCACTCGAAAGTATTGAAGCTTGTATCCGTGCACTGTTTGGGAATGATATGGATCAATGGAAAAGGGAGCAAGAGGCCCCAGATGGGGACAAGTCTACTTGTGCTCAAAAGTTCTTTTCCAGACTTTTACCATTTCTGGTCGAAGTTTTGGTCCAAGATGGAATCTACTTGATTATTGACCATCCACAACATGAGATGTCAATAATGCTGCATGTAAGTGTCGCAAGAGGAATCAGATTTTTCTAGTACCCTGTCTGTTGAGTTGGTACCACCAAGTATCCTAATGATGCCATTTAATTGTTATCAGAATAAAATTCCTGGATATGCTCAATGGGCTGCAATGAAACGACGTTGGGTCAAAAATGAGCTTCTGACTTTTGAGCCAAAGAAAATGGAAGCACTCAATTCAGCAACACAGAACGCTTTTCAGTCAATCATGCGGCAGGTGAAATACCTTGAAGATGCTGTTGTTGCAGGTGCAACTAAGAACCAGGCACTCACTGAACAAGTTGAAGCTCTACGACAAGAACTTAGAAACAGAAATCAAGAGTTCAATGCAGTACAGCAGAGACGAGATGATGCGATGAGGCACTTCATTGCTCAAGAATTACGCAATGTAGTAGGGAACCATCAAATTCAGAACCATGGTCCACCGACCGGTACTGGTGCGCCAAGTCAACAAGAGGTGCACACTAGAGCCGTTGGAAATGTTTCAGCAACTCAACCACTGCGGGAGACTGCAGAAATACTAGTTGCTCCCGAAACCCAACAGAGACCACCATCGCAACGCCAACAAGCTTTGCAACGATCTACTGCAGCTCCTACTGTTGTCCATCTCCAATCAATTCCACATCAACCAGCCTTAGGTAAGGCTTTCCCAAAGCTATGGTCGGGGATTTTGCAAAATTGGATCAATCTGAAGCTCGAGAAGTTCATCCATGTCCCAAAGAATGGACGGAATGGATGGAACAATGCAGAGAATGCCAAAAGGTTTCACAAGCACTACCGAGGATTCCTATGTATTCAGTCGGTTATGGAAGAAAATGAAACTGTCAAGGATCTCAAGGGGGCAGCCTTTTTTTTGGACGACGAGCGAAGAAGTTTGAAGTTAAATATGACTGAACATTTGCAGTTTAGATGTAAACGTAACCCAAGCATTCAAAGCAAAACAATGAAAAAGCAAGCACCCAAGTCCAATAATACAGGAAGAGGAACCAAGAGACCCAATGGTGATGGTGGTACTACAGTACAACATCCAAGAAATAAGCGTTCTCGGCCCAATAGCAATGGCAATGGCAGACCTCCCCTGCCCCCCTTCCACCCAGTGCAACCAATGCAACAACATCGTCAACAAAGAGTTGCCGGGCTGAATATGCATCAGCTCGCATATGGCTCCAAAGTTGTTGATATCGAGGCAAACAGGGGAATCAGAGGCGTCGCCCAAAGATATCAACAACGGACTATGGCCGTATCACAATTCACAAACTCAAGGAATTCTGCCTACCATACCACCAACCTGTTGGCAAGAAAGCCTGCTGCAATTCAAAGAAGAAGGATTCAATCGGCGATTGGCCCCGGGGGGAAACGAGCAAGGAATAATCTTCTTCAAGCTACAGTGGCTCCCATGGCAGATCAAAGGTTCCAAGAAGCTGTTGCTGGATTGACCCCTGATGAATATTTGGAACACGCTGATGCCATTCGTCAAAAGAAAGTAGCTATTGCAGCAAGCGTTCTTGCTGAGGTCAACAACATATATATAACTGATGCATTAATCGTATTAAAACTATCTCAAGTTTCTAGATTGCCGTTAACGGCTGTCATGGCCATTTACCATACGGAGGTGAGTCCAGTACTGTTGAACCAGTGTGAGGCATCCAATCCCAGGGAAGTTGCTCTCATCGGATATTACATTGCACCCTTGCACATGTAGAAACGATCTTGCCACTCGGGGCTGCGTATTTTTATTTTGTTTTTTGAGTTTTTTGAAGGTGATGGTGGGCATGATTGTGTAGCAGGTAAGAAGCCAATTGTTCTTGCGCCCTAATGCCCTGGGCGTATCGATCCAAGTGAATGGAGAGCGTCCCGATGGCACAGTGTTCCAGATTGGATTGCCACTCGAAAGTATTGAAGCTTGTATCCGTGCACTGTTTGGGAATGATATGGATCAATGGAAAAGGGAGCAAGAGGCCCCAGATGGGGACAAGTCTACTTGTGCTCAAAAGTTCTTTTCCAGACTTTTACCATTTCTGGTCGAAGTTTTGGTCCAAGATGGAATCTACTTGATTATTGACCATCCACAACATGAGATGTCAATAATGCTGCATGTAAGTGTCGCAAGAGGAATCAGATTTTTCTAGTACCCTGTCTGTTGAGTTGGTACCACCAAGTATCCTAATGATGCCATTTAATTGTTATCAGAATAAAATTCCTGGATATGCTCAATGGGCTGCAATGAAACGACGTTGGGTCAAAAATGAGCTTCTGACTTTTGAGCCAAAGAAAATGGAAGCACTCAATTCAGCAACACAGAACGCTTTTCAGTCAATCATGCGGCAGGTGAAATACCTTGAAGATGCTGTTGTTGCAGGTGCAACTAAGAACCAGGCACTCACTGAACAAGTTGAAGCTCTACGACAAGAACTTAGAAACAGAAATCAAGAGTTCAATGCAGTACAGCAGAGACGAGATGATGCGATGAGGCACTTCATTGCTCAAGAATTACGCAATGTAGTAGGGAACCATCAAATTCAGAACCATGGTCCACCGACCGGTACTGGTGCGCCAAGTCAACAAGAGGTGCACACTAGAGCCGTTGGAAATGTTTCAGCAACTCAACCACTGCGGGAGACTGCAGAAATACTAGTTGCTCCCGAAACCCAACAGAGACCACCATCGCAACGCCAACAAGCTTTGCAACGATCTACTGCAGCTCCTACTGTTGTCCATCTCCAATCAATTCCACATCAACCAGCCTTAGGTAAGGCTTTCCCAAAGCTATGGTCGGGGATTTTGCAAAATTGGATCAATCTGAAGCTCGAGAAGTTCATCCATGTCCCAAAGAATGGACGGAATGGATGGAACAATGCAGAGAATGCCAAAAGGTTTCACAAGCACTACCGAGGATTCCTATGTATTCAGTCGGTTATGGAAGAAAATGAAACTGTCAAGGATCTCAAGGGGGCAGCCTTTTTTTTGGACGACGAGCGAAGAAGTTTGAAGTTAAATATGACTGAACATTTGCAGTTTAGATGTAAACGTAACCCAAGCATTCAAAGCAAAACAATGAAAAAGCAAGCACCCAAGTCCAATAATACAGGAAGAGGAACCAAGAGACCCAATGGTGATGGTGGTACTACAGTACAACATCCAAGAAATAAGCGTTCTCGGCCCAATAGCAATGGCAATGGCAGACCTCCCCTGCCCCCCTTCCACCCAGTGCAACCAATGCAACAACATCGTCAACAAAGAGTTGCCGGGCTGAATATGCATCAGCTCGCATATGGCTCCAAAGTTGTTGATATCGAGGCAAACAGGGGAATCAGAGGCGTCGCCCAAAGATATCAACAACGGACTATGGCCGTATCACAATTCACAAACTCAAGGAATTCTGCCTACCATACCACCAACCTGTTGGCAAGAAAGCCTGCTGCAATTCAAAGAAGAAGGATTCAATCGGCGATTGGCCCCGGGGGGAAACGAGCAAGGAATAATCTTCTTCAAGCTACAGTGGCTCCCATGGCAGATCAAAGGTTCCAAGAAGCTGTTGCTGGATTGACCCCTGATGAATATTTGGAACACGCTGATGCCATTCGTCAAAAGAAAGTAGCTATTGCAGCAAGCGTTCTTGCTGAGGTCAACAACATATATATAACTGATGCATTAATCGTATTAAAACTATCTCAAGTTTCTAGATTGCCGTTAACGGCTGTCATGGCCATTTACCATACGGAGGTGAGTCCAGTACTGTTGAACCAGTGTGAGGCATCCAATCCCAGGGAAGTTGCTCTCATCGGATATTACATTGCACCCTTGCACATGTAGAAACGATCTTGCCACTCGGGGCTGCGTATTTTTATTTTGTTTTTTGAGTTTTTTGAAGGTGATGGTGGGCATGATTGTGTAGCAGGTAAGAAGCCAATTGTTCTTGCGCCCTAATGCCCTGGGCGTATCGATCCAAGTGAATGGAGAGCGTCCCGATGGCACAGTGTTCCAGATTGGATTGCCACTCGAAAGTATTGAAGCTTGTATCCGTGCACTGTTTGGGAATGATATGGATCAATGGAAAAGGGAGCAAGAGGCCCCAGATGGGGACAAGTCTACTTGTGCTCAAAAGTTCTTTTCCAGACTTTTACCATTTCTGGTCGAAGTTTTGGTCCAAGATGGAATCTACTTGATTATTGACCATCCACAACATGAGATGTCAATAATGCTGCATGTAAGTGTCGCAAGAGGAATCAGATTTTTCTAGTACCCTGTCTGTTGAGTTGGTACCACCAAGTATCCTAATGATGCCATTTAATTGTTATCAGAATAAAATTCCTGGATATGCTCAATGGGCTGCAATGAAACGACGTTGGGTCAAAAATGAGCTTCTGACTTTTGAGCCAAAGAAAATGGAAGCACTCAATTCAGCAACACAGAACGCTTTTCAGTCAATCATGCGGCAGGTGAAATACCTTGAAGATGCTGTTGTTGCAGGTGCAACTAAGAACCAGGCACTCACTGAACAAGTTGAAGCTCTACGACAAGAACTTAGAAACAGAAATCAAGAGTTCAATGCAGTACAGCAGAGACGAGATGATGCGATGAGGCACTTCATTGCTCAAGAATTACGCAATGTAGTAGGGAACCATCAAATTCAGAACCATGGTCCACCGACCGGTACTGGTGCGCCAAGTCAACAAGAGGTGCACACTAGAGCCGTTGGAAATGTTTCAGCAACTCAACCACTGCGGGAGACTGCAGAAATACTAGTTGCTCCCGAAACCCAACAGAGACCACCATCGCAACGCCAACAAGCTTTGCAACGATCTACTGCAGCTCCTACTGTTGTCCATCTCCAATCAATTCCACATCAACCAGCCTTAGGTAAGGCTTTCCCAAAGCTATGGTCGGGGATTTTGCAAAATTGGATCAATCTGAAGCTCGAGAAGTTCATCCATGTCCCAAAGAATGGACGGAATGGATGGAACAATGCAGAGAATGCCAAAAGGTTTCACAAGCACTACCGAGGATTCCTATGTATTCAGTCGGTTATGGAAGAAAATGAAACTGTCAAGGATCTCAAGGGGGCAGCCTTTTTTTTGGACGACGAGCGAAGAAGTTTGAAGTTAAATATGACTGAACATTTGCAGTTTAGATGTAAACGTAACCCAAGCATTCAAAGCAAAACAATGAAAAAGCAAGCACCCAAGTCCAATAATACAGGAAGAGGAACCAAGAGACCCAATGGTGATGGTGGTACTACAGTACAACATCCAAGAAATAAGCGTTCTCGGCCCAATAGCAATGGCAATGGCAGACCTCCCCTGCCCCCCTTCCACCCAGTGCAACCAATGCAACAACATCGTCAACAAAGAGTTGCCGGGCTGAATATGCATCAGCTCGCATATGGCTCCAAAGTTGTTGATATCGAGGCAAACAGGGGAATCAGAGGCGTCGCCCAAAGATATCAACAACGGACTATGGCCGTATCACAATTCACAAACTCAAGGAATTCTGCCTACCATACCACCAACCTGTTGGCAAGAAAGCCTGCTGCAATTCAAAGAAGAAGGATTCAATCGGCGATTGGCCCCGGGGGGAAACGAGCAAGGAATAATCTTCTTCAAGCTACAGTGGCTCCCATGGCAGATCAAAGGTTCCAAGAAGCTGTTGCTGGACTGACCCCTGATGAATATTTGGAACACGCTGATGCCATTCGTCAAAAGAAAGTAGCTATTGCAGCAAGCGTTCTTGCTGAGGTCAACAACAACAACAACAACAACTCCAGACTTGTTTGCCGCCAAAGCATCAATCCTGCCCATCTATGCCCCATTGAAGGGTGCAATGGAGATGTACCAGAAGGTGGTGGAAGCACCATGCCACCGATACACAAATGCTACAACATACGAAACTGCAACAAGAAGGTACATCATGTTTGCGCCGACAGGTCAGGGCTGCATGGACGGAATGAGATGAATGTGTATTGCTCAATAGAATGTAGAGAAATGAGACCGGACTGATGCAATGTAAACAATACGATCATACATAGATGAGTATTAATTTGTCAACAAAGTAGTAGTCTCCCTAGTTTTCCTCCGTACCTATACACTTCCACACAAAACAAGAAGTTTTTAAAGGTTCGGATGTTTTTCTGGAAGAGAGTTGGAAGATAGGGGCATGATCAGTTGGGCGATCTCTACTGAGATCCAAGAGTCAACGGACCACGAGGGCACTGGAAGACTCAGCCCAAATGAAAATAAACCTAGATGAATCTCAAATCAAAAAGGAAAATGCAAACAAGCCGTTGATTTCAATGATTTCACAAGGCTGATGGTACAAGCGATGTAAAAACTTATTCCTTCAAAGCATGAACATCTGCATTTCTTGTATGACTTGGACTTGGAGGAAGAGCGCTCCGATTGTAGCAACCTGGAGCGATATCATAAATATCATAATGATCAGAATCTGTTTGAAGGCACAACAGCAGAAGCTGGAGGCGAGACAATATGATTCGTCAACAAAACTCAACCTCCTCGCCTCAGATCATATCCCAGTATGAAGAATAACATGCAAACGAGGTAGTTGCGGTGAAGAGAAGTATGGATGATGCATTGGATTGAAGCACCGATGGATGGCTCACAAACACTCTTGATGGATGTAGCACTTGGTTTTCAGAGGCAAGGTGCTTTTGTGAAATTTCTTCAAAACCGCTTTTTTCAGTCCGTATGTTCCCATCCTTTATTTGGAAAAAAGCCTCAACTGAAGTTTTGTCCATGTGTTTTGTTTTGAAGCGCGTGGAGCCCATAAATGACAAGTGGAGATTTGTCCAGGTGTTTCAGTTGGAAAGTATGGTGCCATAAATATTAACTTTTGGTTCGTGGTCTTTGAGCCCCACGAGCTTAGCCAATGGAAAAACATCAAAATAGAATGTGTGGAGAAAGGATATTTTTTGAGACTTCACTATGAGAGTCAACCCCACGGTACCGGTACTCAGCACATTCCAAAACAACAAGAATCAGAACAACAAACAGCATAGAAATACAGTTTAACACTAAAAAGTAATAGTCATGGCTATTAGAAATATATGCTTGTATCAGCAATTAAATGTGGACTGCAGCTAGAGCAGTAGCCAAATCCATGTAGGAAACGCTCAAGCTAGTGAATCCGGTGTTGGATTGTACTTTTTCAGCAACGATCTTTCGAACAAGACGATCATTGGCATATACGCCCGCGTCCTCAAGTACATCCAGGATGAACTTGAGCATGTTATCCAAGTCTTTTGACATATCGGCAAGTCCAAACTGAACTTGGACCTCGACTCCTGGGAGGGTGAAAATTGGGTTTGCGGTGGAGGCGAGCCCAGTTTCTTGGAGCTCCTGTTTCATCTTTCTCGAAAAAAATGTCTTGGCCCGCGCAGCTGGGTTGTAAATGTAGGTCCGCGAAGCTCGGGTGACAGCAAATCTTGGGCGTGGTTGAGCAATGGGATCCCCAGAAATGAAAATCTGGAGAGAAACGCCTCTGGTCTCACCAACCCCCAGTACTGTAATGTTGCGGTTCCGCAATCCAGCGGCAGATCGCTTTCGCTGCGCACGAGTGTTGGGCATGGTGAAGTGGAGTGGATTGTGGTGGTTGATGTTGATGATCTGATACCAAAGTTGATTTTATGGCATCATCAGCAACAAAGGCGTCAGTATCTGACCTGGGTCTCAGTAGGATTTTACAGCCTGGGTTACAGTAGGACCTGACGGTGGTACACGACGCTTCATCCGGGACATCATTGTGGGAGTCGTTTGGGAGAGAGTTGGTATGATGTGGACTTAGCAAAAATTGGAAGTTGTGGTGTCGAGGTCTTGTGCAAAGAAAATGTGGTGCTCCGTAGGCCTGCGTAGAGATGTACCAGAGAGGAATTCTAGGTTCGATGTACCGGAGGGATGTGGAATCTCAACATACGACATGTCTACACATATTTATGTACTATATAATATGTTTTCACCTTCGCTCGTTTACGTGCGACAGACAGACGTAGCGGACGAACCATAGACGATGGCTAGAGAGTCAAGAGATCGAAGATTTTCCTTGTTGGCGGGGTGACTGACTGACTGACTCAGCTGGTGGGATTCAATTCGATTATCGCAATGACCGTTTTCAAAACCACGGTACGTACGACTCCGTACCAAAAATCTCGAGCATGCACTCCAACTTGGCTCGTGAATTATATTTTCGCACCGAAATGTAGATATCTTTGGCCAGCGTGGCGTGCGCAAAGCCGAAATCTTTGGTTTTCCCAAGATTTGGACAACTTGCAGCTCATAATAATTCTCTCAACAAAGTCAGTCTTTGTCTAATCAACATCTTGCAGCTCATAATAAATTTCAACAAAGTCAATCTTTATCAAATCAACATCTAGAATGATCTTAAAGGTAGCTTTGTATGTACTTGGATTTGGAGCAAGTCAAGCTCTTGCTCAAGACTTGGCGGCTTCCCCTGAACAAATTTGGAGCCAACAACTCTTTGGGGCCACAGGCGGAAACGCCCAAGCTTACAGCGGAAACGGGTTGTTTCTCACCCCCGATGGATCCGAGGTCGTTGCAATTGCGAACGGCGGAAAGGTAGCATCTTATCGCTCCAGTGATGGAGAGCCACTGTGGAACCACAACCCGCCGGGCGATGATGGAAGTGCCAGTTTCAGGGTTGAGACTTTGAGCGGGATTACCTTCTCCACGGGAAACTCAGAAAGCAGTTTCATGGTGTACTCTGTGACGTACAAGGACGAGGACAGTGCTGGCAATGATTACACGTAAGTAAAATCTTCCATGGTTTCGCTGCGAGAACAGACTGTACGTTCTCAACCCCTTTTCATTGCAGCGTTGTTGTCAAGCGTGACATGGCAGGGGATCTGCTTTCCGTATCCCCTAGTTTGCAGGGAGAACATTCGGGAAGTCCAGTTGTTTCAGATGATGGAAACTACGTCTTCTTGACCCACAACTCTCCCGACAAAACAACAGGGTACTTCACCATTCTTAGTGAGGCTCTCGGACTTGTCGTCACAAGATCCAATGCGGGAGCATTTGCACCACCAGGAATCTACCATAGCCCAGAGGAGGGCTTTTACGATCCTATTCCAGGAACTGCAGATGGATTTTTGAACACCAATGATTTAATCATGTGGTCTTTGACTCCAGAAGCCCCGAATGTCTCTGTACCTGCTGGTCGCATTTTTGGCTTCCAATTTGCTACAGACTTCGACATTGCAGCTGTCGACACTCTCAACTACTTCAATCTGGGAACGGATCGTGCATTCCAGACTATTACACCACCTGTCATCACGAACAAAGGACGCAGTGCCTATTGGAGTACTTCCCGAAGTGAGTACTTTTGCTTCATCGGAAACCCAGAGGTGGACCGAGCTCGATTCAACCGAAACCCAAACCTTCGGTTACAGTTCGAGAATAACGCGCAATGGAACGGACAACCCATTTTCTCCACTCCCGCTGTATCCACGGAAACAGATGGTAGTGCTGTTGTTTTCGGTGGAAGTGCATCAAATGAATTCTTTCGTTTCACCCACTTCTTCAATGGCACTGATGGCGAGGCATCAAAAATTGTGATTGAGACAACTCCAGTCACAACTGCGACATCTACTCTCATTGTGACACCGCCCATTATTGATCCACTTGGAAGGGCCGTCTACTACGTCGAAAGCGACGGTACGTTGCATCAGGCCAATTACGATACCATAGAGGATATTTGGACCGAAACCATCCCTGACGGGGTTCAAGGTGAAATGGCAATGAATGCAGATGGTTCGATTCTCTATGTCATGAGTGTTGAGGGCAGAATCTTGGCACTTGGTGTGGCGGAAGAGGACACCTCAGAGGCTCCAACAGGTGCTCCTGTGCCAACTGTACCACCAGTCACATCTGCACCTTCTATTCCTCCTGTTGCCCAGCCATCCGGTAGTGAACCATCTAGGAGCCCCGTTGCGGCACCCACAACAGGTGATACATCTATTGACGAGACGGGTGAAAGTGGTGCTTTCACAAAGTCCATGCAACTTGCTGTCGTTTCTCTTTTGTTCTCCTTCCTTTTGTAATTGCTGATTGCATTTTGCACACAGTTTTGTTTAATGAAATCTTTCAATTGCTATATTCTGTTTTATAATAGAGCTAGTTTCTTGTCTTGCAACCGACACGTCTTATATAGTACAGTAATATTTGTGCTGTGTCCCACAGAAGGTTGAGGACTAACTTAGCCACAGTAGCGGTAGAAAGATTGCTGAAGAGATATTATGAGTTCTATAGAGACATCTGAATAGAAGGTGTGTACTAGATACACAAAATTTCCACTGCAGTCTTGAAAAGAATGCATTCGTCAGGTCGTCGTATCGACTTGTAGACAGAGGTAATAGATGTAACTGGCCAATGGCACAATTACGTTTGGTAAGACTACTGTAGACATGTTGAGTAAGAGGGCGTTTGTATGATTACTCATGTTGGAATAATGATCTTGATTCGACTGATATGATTCGACTAGTTGGACCATTGAACTTGTGTGATCTTACCAAGATCTTACTGTACATTATGCTGGTGGGATTTTTAGTGAGCTCTTAGCCAATGAAAGTTAGTCAAATCACTAAAAATGGGTTGATTTTTAGTGGTCTGAGCCAATCACAGCGGCCCATTCACTAAAAATAAACCAATTCGCGCTAAGTTAGTACTCAACAACACCAACCAGCTCTCCTTGGGGGAGGGGAAATCGGTATACTCTGTCTTCAAGGCAAAATATCATACCTGGTAGCGAGCATGGTGGGCAGTACATAGGTGTCGGGTGCTGCCCGATATATATATTATCTGAATAAAGGATTAAAAAACTACCAGCGCATGCGCCAGGATCGACATTCGACATGCATTTAAAAAATAGCACACCGCAAAAAAGCAATTAACGCAGAACCATTAAGGGCGATGTGATTATACCATTGGTTAGGTCAGCAGCACAACAGAATGGACTTGGATTGCTTTCTTCCTAGCAGGAGCTCTACCTTTCGGGCAACCAGATGCATATGCATGGATCCCATGTGTAGACTTGTGCAGCAAAGGTTCAAGAAGGTGAACGATGCTAGGGGTGGGTTTTTTACTGTTCCTGCTGCTACTCGAAGTAGCTACAATCCCAAAGAAGTTGCAGTAGCATCAATGATAAATGCTGGATCCGCAGAACCAAAAATGGTGGTGACGACAGGGGAAAAGAAAAGGAGGATGGTAGAATTGCTGATGGGTGGTGGCAATGGCATTCCGCAGCAACAATGTTTTGTTGCGATGCTTCATTTTTCGCCGTACATTCTCAGGAAGAAATGCCTGAGAAAGAGAGGCACAGAGCATGTCTACTGCTGGTTGTTACCCAAAAGATGCAGCGATGATGGGGAATCTGTTGCTCCAAATTATCCGATCCAAGATGCGGAACGGGACGTGCTAGAAACCAAAAATGCTGTCAACCAAAGGCCCGTCTACACAAGAGCGTCAAGGAAAAGCACAGAGGAGATGGTGAAGCTGTTTCTTGGTAATCGGACAAAATTGACCCGTGTAAAACGGAAAAGGATCAGAGATTACGCACAGTTTGTTAAAAACCAGTTGAAGAAAGGAAAGAAGCTTCCTCTGGAAAAGGAATCGCGGTTAGAACAAATTGGATTTTTTGACGAGTTTCCAAGACCGGAAATATTAGTAGGAGCAGAAGGGGAAGGGATGGACAATTTGGAAGCAACCCCCATTGAGCACAATTTGAAATTGTGATATAGAATGTTGGCTAAAACAGCCAGTCTGGTCCTCAAAAATGTGACAAGCTGGTTCTGACCCAGCTACCGGTATATCCTATCTATTTGTCACGCCTGAAGACCACTTTTAATCCATATAAACCTGGATTTTCCACAAGTACTTTGTTAGTCCCAACAGTACTTCATTAGTTCTTACACGCGCACGTGAATTCCCAACACACTCCTTCGAGCGATGGATCGTGCATGTGATTCATTCGATCGGACATTCTGTCTGTCCGTCTGTTGTCGGCCCTTATTCAATTGTTCGTTTACTCACTCCTTTGAGCCCCTATTCTCCAGGGATTTGAACCCTTGACCTCAGCCTTGTCTCTTATCTTGAGACCTCCTATCTTTTGCAGTCTATCTACTGCAGCTAGGTACTGAAACTCAGTATATCACACCATGTTGGCTAAAACAGCCAGTCTGGTCCTCAAAAATGTGACAAGCTGGTTCTGACCCAGCTACCGGTATATCCTATCTATTTGTCACGCCTGAAGACCACTTTTAATCCATATAAACCTGGATTTTCCACAAGTACTTTGTTAGTCCCAACAGTACTTCATTAGTTCTTACACGCGCACGTGAATTCCCAACATAGAAGACTTGAAGCAAAGAGGTCGTATAATCGTATTAGTGAACGTTGACACACATATGGATCTATACATTTTAGATTTTTCTGCTTGGGGCTTTAGAGGACAATGAGAAATACAGCAGCATTGATTTAGATAAGTCGTGGCCAAAGATTGCTATTGTTTTGGTTCGGGGAACAATCAGTGTCCTGACTTAATGGAAGAAGTAGTTTTGTGCAACGTCAGGCTCGTAGAAGCCATTTGCGGCTGCACCGCCCCGTCCTGCAGCCACGTGGCTTCTTGCAAGTGTTAGGAATTTGTTGCCAAAGTAAATGGTCATATCTTGCTGTTCTAGGATATTTGCCAATGTCATGCCTGGAAAGATCCGCTGTTCCAGAGCTTCCAGAACATCCTGAACGGTGAGGTAATAGCTGAGCACTTGGATGATTGGCGGAGTGATGTCCCCAGCATACTCCAAGGGAAGAGGATAGCGGCATTTGATATGTGCAACAGATTGGAGCTTGTGTGAAACCTTTTTGGCCCAGGTTTCAAGAATCTGGGCAGTCCACTGCCTTGTACGGAATCCCACTAGGCACGACCATTCTCTTGTTGCTAGGCCTTCCGTTGGGTTGCAATTCTGTGGCTGCATCGGATTGTTCTCGTCGCGTAGTTTAGCCACCATATTGCTCTGAGTCTTGTAGTTTTGTCCCATGGTATGGCTTTGATCTATAACAAGCCAACCAGCCTTTTGAGACGTCATATATGAATTTGCTTCTGTGCTTGAAACCATTTACTTTCAAATGATTTCAGACCTTTTTTGGTTGGTGGCCATTGCTTTGGATCAAATTTTGCAGCTCTTGTTTTGATGGCATTGGTTCAAATCAGCAGATTCACCGTCATAATCTATAAATGTACAGGATAGGATCTGCAAATGGTGGGAAAGCAGACATAACGTGCCGTAAAGGCTAAAAAAACTAAGAACAAATATTTAGTCGACGGAGTCGAGCATCAGAGTTGGTCCACTGAATCGTCGGAAAAACGACGACATTTTTGTGGTTTTAAGGCTCCACACGATGCGACAAGAAATGTTAACTAAATAAATAGCTTTAATCTCTGACACCCGAACACCAAACCCCACCGTACATCTCAGTTTTCACCTGCAAAGTAGAAGCAAAGCTGTCCGGGGAAAAGAAGACGGGCGACTTTGCAGACAAGACCGTCAAAAGGAAAGCTTGGCGAACCATGTTTGTGCTTCAGCAACTTTGGTTTGTAGTCCTTCTTCCAGTTTTTCTTGGGTGAGATCTCACGCATTTTCTAAAGACATGGAAAAGGATGGGGGGGGCAGGTAGTACTACAAGTATGTTTGTTTCACAGGAAATTTATTTCACTCCAGTTACTTTGATGATTTGCGGAACGCCAAGTCCGAATTCAATTTTGGCGCCAATGCTTAGGGCTAGTCAAAGGAGTCGGCTAGGAGTCAGACAGACGACTGTCAAGCAGTCCTGGCAGGCGCGTGGCCGGCCAGGTCGCTCTAACCTCGTCGTTTCTGTAGGACGACGCGCGTTCAGTATTCAGTGTGCACGTACACGTACACGCAAGAGTGGTTCATGTGACACCGCCCACGTGCGAAACTGCGGTCTGTCCCACTCTCTAGCCATCGTCTTGCGGTCAACCCACCCAGTCTGTCGGTCGCATGTAAACGAGCAAAGGGTCTCCCTGAGACTCTGGGACGCACCACAAAGTCAAACGCACGCACGAAATCTGTCCGTTTAGATTGTTTTGAGGATTTTTTTAGCTCTAAATAATTTTTATGTGTCCGTTAAAATGCTCTGCGACTTTGATGTGGGACGTTTCTTTTGACGCGGAAATGACGCAAGTTGCGTTAGTTTGACGCCGAGTTGCGTTGGTTTGACGCGGAGTTGCGTCAGTTTGACGCAGAGTTTCGTCAGTTTAACGCCGATTCCGCGTCAACTGACGCGGGTTGCGTCAATTTAACGCGGGCCTGCGTGTCTTCGACGCGGGACGAAACCCGCGTACTGTTATCAGTTCCAAAAAGATTGGAGTGTGTGAATGAATGAGAGTTTGAGTTCCCACTCTCATTCCAATGAGAGTTGCCCATTTTTTGAACAATGGATCTGATGGAAATTGACAAAGCTGGGACACATAA